GATGTTAGGACGTGTTTGAGTTCTCGATCGCTCCGTCTTGTGTGTGCTGGGTGTGCTGAATAAACATGTGTTCAATTGCTTCACGTGTTTCAGGGAATGACTACTCACGGAGAAGCCCACTTCGCAATTGGTTCCGCCCCGCTGGGGGAAGAACCTCGAAGCACGACGTCGACACCGGTCACCGCTACGAGTTGGGGAGGTCTCGGTGGGGAGGAACAAAGAGGGGCTCAAAACTTGTGGTGCGACTACAGCAAACATGTATGGTATGTGGACTGGGCCTCCCAGGACGCCTCCAACCCGGTGAAGCCTCGATGCGGGCCAGTCTTGTTCCTCGCCGGTCGCGGCGATACGATGCGTCTCACAGGGTCCATTCTCGAGTGGGCCGACGAAGGCGATGACATTATACGGTTTACCTTCAAGCTGTACTGAAGTGATGGGTCCGTTGACGAACTCGCAAAAGGATGCAAGGTTTCTAGGAAGATGCTCGGAGGGTACGGCGAGAGTACGGCGACTTTGCCCTTCTTCGTCCCGTTAGCGCCAGACCAAGACAGAGCCGTTCACGTGAAAGACTTCCTCGAGGTTTGGTCGGTTACATTCCGCCCTAGCCATGGCATGGACGTGGACCCTGGAACATCAACAAGTGGTCCTGTTGGGTTCGCGGGAGGAGACCATTTTGGCGAAGGTGTGGGAGGGGAGTGTGGACTGCCCGGTACGCCTCCTGATCCACCAGTGGGCAGAGGACGAGCTTGTGAATGCGCCTTTGAAACCCGGCTTGCAGGGATCTCGCCGCCAAGGTTTGCTTGGGGAGCCGCCATTTTCGACGTCGCTTGGTGGCGGGGTTCACAAACGGTTGGAAAAGGCCTCAGGTTCGAAGTCTCCCCGTCGCCTCGTAGACATGATCAGTGATTTGGTTCGTGGCAGAAAGGTGGTCGAGTCGACGGGCATTCGACCGGGTAGCTCGGAGGTTCGACAGGTGCGTGGGGTGGACGAGACGACTCGGTCGGCCCGCCCTGCTCCTATACAGCTGCAGACGGAGGCAAACCCTCAACGAGAGGCAGGTGGGAACGTCACAAGTGAGGAGGAGCTACTCGAGTTGGGGGCAATTCTTCAGAGCTCGCCTGAAACGACTCAGTCGGGAGGCAAGCGCAATTTGCCAGTTGACGAAGTGCGGGAGGGAGTAGCGACTCTGAAAAGGCAAAGAGGAAGTGGTCGCACGCCGACGACACAAGAGCGCAGTTCCGTTGGGAAGAGGAAAAAGGTTGGAGGGAGAGATGATATGCCGAAAGACTCCTCAACACGGCGAAGAACCGGTGAGTCTTCCAGGAAGAGGTCGAAGTTGATGAAGGAGAAGAAAGCAGATGAGGGCGATACCGGGAGGGGGACGCAACGCGAACTGAACCTAAATATATTTAACATCGACAAAGCGTTCTTCCTGGAGATGAAGACGGGGGTGCAGAAGGACGTCGTGTTGCACGTCCATCCCGGAAGAATCTTGCATATTCCAGACTGGGAAGACGCATATAGCCACCGATCCTTGGACGAGTTCTTCGTGGATACCATCGCGGCTGCTATGATCGACTGTTACGAACGTCAAGACATGAGATATACAAAGCCGACTTTCATTCTGACACTGATCGTCGCGCCACTGGAGAAGGACAAACCTGCTGTGTGCGTGCTACCTCAAGACTTCGACGCCTCACATCCCGAAAAATACTGGTATTATCCTGTGTGTGGTCAGCCTAACGTGAGGGCGGCGATGAAGGTGAAAGACGATCCCGTGTTCAATTACAACAACTTCAAAGAATGGTCATTAAAACCAATTTACTTCCCAGACGACGAGTTCGATGGCTACGCCTATGTCAGTTGCGAAGACAACTTGAAAGACAAGAAAAATCCACCAAGGTTGCAGATTTTGTCCATGCGGGACATTCGCATTATCTGGAAAATTAAAGGGAGACCGCGTGTCATCCTCGGTAATGCGTCCAAGAAAAAGGAGGAGGTGCGTAAGTGGACTCAGTTCATGGGCTTAGCAATGAAGAAGACACCGTACACCCCTTTATGGAGCTTGTCAACGTAAGAAAAGAAGAAAAAGAAATGAACCGAGAAACTTCAGTACTACCTCCCACTGGTCATGGCTGACGAGTCGGTCTTCGAGTTGGTATAGAAATTCTAGTACGAATGGTTGAAAGGAAAACTTCAGGCTTCCGACGACCAGCGTTGGACTGAAAAGTCACCGACCCATGAGGAGGTGGCCAAGCCAGGAATGTCGACTGTGACTGACAGACAAAGACTGAGAGAGAAGGTTAACAATAGTCATATTTTTCATCACCACTTCAGGACACCCTTCACAACTTCAGGATGCAGCCTGCCTAAATAGGTGGTTTTCAGGGTCTTCGGACCTTTCACCACTTCAGGACACCCTTCACCACTTCAGGATGCAGCCCGCCTAAACAGGTGGTTTTCAGGGTTTTCAGGGTCTTCAGACCTTTCACCACTTCAGGACCATTCAGGTCTGAAAATCCTGAATGGTCCTGAAGTGGTGAAAGCTTCGAAGACCCTGAAAACCACCTGTTTAGGCAAGCTGCATCCTGAAGTGGTGAAGGGTGGTTTTTGTGGTCATCGGACCTTTCACCACTTCAGGACCATTCCGGATTTTCAGACTGCCAAAAACTCTTCAATTGACCACTTCAGGAAACCACTTCAGGATGCAGCCTGCCTAAACAGGTGGTTTTCAGGGTCTTCGGACCTTTCACCACTTTAGGACCATTCAGGATTTTCAGACTGCCAAAAACTCTCACTTCAGAATTTTCATTCCTTAAGTTTCAGTTACCCGATAACCGCTTGTGGAGACTGAAAAAACACGTCTGGTACGTTAAGGTGGACGACCGGTCGTTGAAGAAGGGCAATGGCAAGCCAAAGAAAGGCGAGGAGGAGAAAACTTACTATGTCCAAGTTCCTGAGCCTGATGTCTATTGCTGGAAGGAATTGGCAGACTTGACGAACCGCGAGAAGAGAAGACTATTGCAAGGCATCTTGAACCTTACCGTTGTGTGGGTTCAAACGAGTAGCAAGAAGTTGGCCGAGCAGGGGAAGTTCAGTGTCAAGGAGATGATCGACATAATAAAAATCGACCGGATTATGCTGAGGTTGTGGCACTACATGGAGTTCGAGTACGAGGAAATGGGAAAGGAGTAGTGAAATAGGATTGAATGCCTTGGATCATAAGGATGCACTAAGGAAACTGGCGCATCTGTTACAATCCCAGACTTGTGTGCTCGACCTGTGTGGAACTGTGGATCGGGCGCGCAAGGATTTAGGGGCATTCGCATCTCCGATTGAGTTCCTGGGCTTCGTTTGTCAGGATTACTGGACATTGGTGGTATTCGTTCCCTGCCTATGAAACCTCTCCTTCATGACAACTTTTTTTGCGCTTGGGGCTACCCGATGCTACACGGGGATTCCGAACTGTGTGCACAAGACGTAAGCGAAGAAGGCCTATCAGTTCGGTAACAACGTGTGGGAGGAGATGGATGTAATGCACATCCTTTTCAAAAGCGAGGATCCGCAACTACTGACTCGCCCAGTGCACAAGGGAGTTGTTGCCGAAGACGATGCCGCCGCTGTCCGAAGAAAACAGAAAGTGACACCTACGGATGTTGTGGAGAACCCTTTCAAGTCTTTGAATTTCGCAGACGTTGGAAACCTCAGTCAGTGGGGGACTCTGTACAAGGACTGTGAGAGGAATCCTAATCAGTTATGCAGTCAGCTTCTTTTCTTCTGTGGTGTGGCGGATGCCGTACTGTTCCTAGGCAAGCCGCACACGCAGGTGGTGTGGAATCTGCTTCGCAGCGGAAGGCACGTCTTAGCGGTGGAGGGGGACTCAACGCAATTTGAATACACCGTGCAGTTTGTTGTCCATGAAGCCCAGTCAGGGGCTTACGAGTACGATTTGCACCATGTCACCATCGAGCCCGTATATGACACAAATAAGGACATGTTCTTCAAGTTGACTTCGAAGAAAAGGCGCCAAGAGTCTACTCCTTTCTTTTTGGCCATCAACCGAAGTGGAGAGTAGACGAGAACTACGTGCAGTGCTGCGAAAGGAAGTCGCCATTGCAGTCCTCCAAGGTCACCACGGGGCAAGTCGAACCTGCGCAGTGGACTTCATGAAGAGGTTGGAATACGTCTTCTTCAATGAAGGTGTGGACGATGCGGCCGACTTCACTTTGGACAAGTACAGGCTGGCATTTGGCGAGGAGGATGACTTCAATATCGACACTGAGCAGGAGGAGAGCGTTGAGGATGACCTCTTCGATTTCGATGGCCAATTAGCCATTTTCAACGCCCAAGTCGTTTCTAAGTCGCCCTCAATATGCAAACCGGAGACACCACTTGCTACTCCCACCTCAGGCGGTCCCACACTCGTGTCCTTCTCAGCGCCTGTCAAGAGGGGTGGGTTGTCCCGTCTGAGGAGTTCGTTGGGGGAGTCACTATGTCTCACACCGCACCGTGAGCGTCTACAACCCGGCCAACCAGTTCCTCCTGACCATCCACATATGTTGAATACTGCAGGACCCTACCACATGGGTGACAAACATACCTTCTCCAAAGCCAAAGATTGGGGCCATGATATCGTGTGGCATCCTGACCATTTCCAGCCAGTCCTTCTTGATGGTGAATGGGCAGTGGTTGTGAGGGACATAAGTGGAGGGTGGGAATATGACGATCGTTGGGACGTTGCTACTTTCAAGTCTCAGACCTACGAGGTGGTATTGGAGAAATTGGGTAAGGTCAATCGACGACACAAGGACGACCCTGCTCTGCGGGCATACGCGGACACGTTGTTCGAATTATTGCAGTCAAATAAATGGTTGGAAGTATCCTCCGTGTTCTACAGCCTTCCGTCCAACCCGTCATTGAAACACGTAAGTTGGGAGTTGCCTGCGATTACGCTGACGGCTGGAGTTGTGAAGCGCAAGTCTCACGGAAAGGACGACGAAGGGATGGTCATGGCGGCGGTCTCCTGAGCACGAAGGCGGCGGAGAGGGGGAAAAGGGCAGCGGAGAGAAGAAAAAGCTTCACAGCGGAGAGAAGAAAAAGCATCACAGCAGAGACGGGCAAGGGTCCAACGTCGACGGGGATGAGGACGGTGAGGCATTGGCGGTAACATGCAGCACCTCAATGGAGACCGGAAATAACTTTAGGCCTGGGTCAATTCCGCGGCCTGGCGAGCAGAACTCTGTAATTAGCTCCACCAGTGTGAGACATATTATCGCTCAGGTTGTCGAGACAGTTGTTGCGACGGATGACACTTGCCTTGCTCAGGTCCAAACGCAATTTGTGGATTGTCTCAGATCAATCCGAACCACGGAAACGACGTCGTTGTCTGGAACTCAGTGCCTTGTGGCAAGCAAGACGATAACATACCTCGGGTCCGACTGCACAAGGAACCATTTTTCGTTCCGCCACATCAGGAAGTTCGGACTAATCCGAACCTGGAGGCCAATACCGTCAAAACAATACACCGATCTAAGAAACTCGAATGGACGGGCCAGGTTTCTGAACACCCTGCCGACCAAATTCGGATTCATTCGAACCAGGAGGACGTATCAACTATGACGGCCGATCGGTGTAAGGATGTCGAGATGTTGTGCATGGAAGTCCCCAAGGAGCTGCAGGAAGACCGTCCGTCTTTTGAAGTCGGTATTCAAGACAATGCAGTGCAGTCCCTCGAGGGTGAGTTAGCGCCCAATTCCAATCTCGAGTCCCACACACTCGGAGAGGAATGCCCTATTACGGTATGCGCTTCGTTGGCAGTTTTAAGCGACTCTGCGGTGAAAGCGGGCACGTTGTTGGGCAAGTCTACCCTTCTTTTGATTTCCGCTAGTAGCTACTGGTCCGGCGATTAGTAGCTCGGGGGGGTCCGTGCCCAAACAGGCCCCTCCCTGCGCCCCTTGCCTTCTCGAAAGAAATCGACCCTGAAGTCAAGTTAATGCCACTGTGATTTTTTAAAAAGGGGGGGTGTATCGTGTCTGTATCAATTTTACAAAGGTGGCTCGGACCCGAGGAAAAATTAGACCTGCGGTAAGGAGCCGCCGACAGCCCCAGATTTCAAAAAAAAAAAAAAAGAAAGGGAAGACAGGCCCGCCTCAGGTGAGTGTAGACTGGTAGAGCTTGAGCTCGGAATTTACCTCTCGAATAAGAATTTCCTCGGTCCGAATGAACCTCCTAATAAGGACCCTAACGAAAAGGAGAGTGGGCCTGTTTCAATCCACACCGCACACAAGTTCCGGCCTTGGTGCTTCAAGTGCAGGGCATACGGCCACCTGTGCACTGAATCGGCATGTCCCATGCACCCGATCAACACCAGACCCGTACCGGGGAAGCTACGGAGACCTGGACTCAAAAGGACAGGCCAAGGGTTGGACGGTCCAACTTGGACCTGGGAGGGCAGAGGGGAGCAAGGCAGGGTCAATAAGCCGCCAAATGATTGGACACCCCGGGGGCAGCAGAGGCGGCAACCCCCTAGAAACCCAGCCAGCCAGCACTGCAGCAATTCCCATAGCTGCACTCCGGAAACCTGCAACAAGAAAACCCCCTAAAAAAACAAAAACAGCTGGCACGGGGGCCAGCGGCCCAGCGGCAGGAGACTACCTGCCAAAAGACAGCTGGCAGCAAGGCCAGAAAAAGGAGGGGCAGAGCAAAAGATGGCAAATCTTGAAACGAAAAGAACCAGAACAGGCCGACCGGGTCAGGCCGGTGGGCAATGGTGCTGCGTCCGCCCGGCCGGAAAAGGACAGGGACGTAACGACCGCGGATCTCCTCGAGAGCGCTTTTGGCACCGAACCGATGGACGTGGAGGCCATCCCGGGGGCCCCACCCATCCCCCCAGAAATTGAGATGAAAGACGTTGCGCACACGGAGGATCAGGTCGCCTCACAGTCAGTTTCACGGGAAGAGCCTACAGCAACCAACCAAGCAGACAGACTGAAGGACCTCGCAGAATGGCTAATGGATAACCTGCAGCTTAAGTATCAGGGCAAAGATGAAGCTTTTTGGGATGAAACATATAAGGCGCTCATCACTTTGCTGGAGAACAGCGAAAGCCTTCAG